TAATGTCTCCTAGATCTTGATATTGTAATTTAAAAAATGTATAATTGATAGTGTAATAGGAAGAAAAGGTCTAGAGGAGCAGGGGAAGTGGGAGGGGTAGGGGAAAGGAAAGAAAGGAAAAGAAAAAATATGAGAACAGGAAAAAAATGGAAACAAAGTCTTTGCAAATAGGGAAGGGTGCAAGGGGTGAAGGGAGGAAGGGGAAGGGGAAAAAAAATAAGAACCAAGATACTCATGTAATGGTACAAGATCCCAATGATGTATGTAAATGTATTTTATACCTAATATGTACCAATAAACTTAATGGGAAAAAAAAAGAATTCATTATTTGACTTTGTGGAACACAAACTGGGCGTATCTGACATATAGCAGGTTGAGAATTAGTCCCTCATATCATTGGGAGTTGAACCCAGGGCCTTTGCACTAAGCTACATTCCCAACCCTTTTTATTTTAAATTTTGAAACAAGGTCTCACTAAGTCACTAAATTGTGCAGGCTGGGCCTTAACTCATGATCCAACTGCCTCAGTTTCCTAAGTAGCTGGAAACAGCCAGATGGAACAAAACACAGGGTCAAAATGATCACTAAAGAATGTGCAGCCGGGCCATCTTGGGCGCCGCTACCAGCAGCTGAGAGCCTGTGGGAGCCGGGGCTGTGGTGGCGCAGGTGCTCCAGACCGAGTCCACAGCAAAGTAGCTGTAATGTTCAAGCCCAGAAATGCCTTATGTGGCTCATCAGAATCGCATTTGTGGTTTTCTAGATATTGAAGAAAATGAAAACAGTGGGAAATTTCTTCGATGGTACTTCATACTGGATACCAGAGAAGATAGTTTTGTGTGGTACATGGATAATCCACAGAACCTACCTTCTGGATCATCATGTGTTGGAGCTATTAAACTTACCTACATTTCAAAGGTTAGCGATGCAACTAAGCTAAGGCCAAAAGCTGAGTTCTGTTTTGTTATGAATGCAGGAATGAGGAAATACTTCCTTCAAGCCAACGATCAGCAAGACTTAGTGGAATGGATGAATGTCTTGAACAAAGCTATTCAAATTACAGTACCAAAGCAGTCAGACTCACAGCCTAATTCTGATAACCTAAATCGCCAAGGTGAATGTGGGAAGAAACAAGTGTCTTACAGAATTGATATCGTTGGTGGTGTACCCATCATTACTCCAACTCAGAAAGAAGAAATAAATGAATGTAGTGAAAGTGCTGACAAAAATAATTTGAAACGGTCACAAAGCCATCTTCCTTACTTTACTCCTAAACCGCCTCCAGACAGTCCAGTTATCAAAGCTGGATATTGTGTAAAACAAGGAGCAGTGATGAAAAACTGGAAGAGAAGATATTTTCAATTGGATGAAAACACAATAGGGCTACTTCAAATCGGAACTGGAAAAGGAACCTCTCCATGTAATACCACTTAAAGAAGTTCATAAAATCCAGGAGTGTAAGCAAAGTGACATAATGATGAGGGACAACCTGTTTGAAATTGTAACAACATCTCGAACTTTCTATGTGCAGGCTGATGGCCCCGAAGAGATGCACAGTTGGATTAAAGCAGTCTCTGGTGCCACTGTAGCACAGCGGGGACCTGGCAGATCAGCATCTTCTGTAGGTTTCCTCCTCTCTAGGGTGATAGTCCCATAGGCCCCCCATGCTGTTGAGTTATTTACCTTCCTCTCCCCCTAATGCTTCTTGTTTCTTTATTGAAATTTATTTGCATGTTGACTTTCATACCAATTGGACTTGCAAAAAATAATCCATTTCTAATTTAATGCTTCCTTGTAGTGTTATGTATATATAATATTTTGTGCATTGTATTGTGTTAAATGCACAAGCAGGCCAACTAAAGAATAAACTTTTCCTTGCTTTGTTTAACAATTAAAAAAAAAAAGATCACTTAAGAAAGTGGATATTATGGGCCTGGGATTTAGCTCAGTGGTTCCACTGCCTGCCTCACAAGGGCAAGTTCCCAAGTTCGATCCTCGGTAACAAACAAACAAAAAACGAAAGTGGATATTAGGTTCTTTTTTTTTTCTGGTACCAGGATTTGAACTCAGGACCTTGTGCTTGCCAGGCAGGCATGGTGCCACTGAGCTAACATCCCTGGCCCAAAGAAAGTGGATATTATGCAAATACATGGAGGGAGATCCAATTCACTGCTTACCAAAAAAATTGTAATCATCAATCCTACCTCACACCATACACACAGATTAGACATGTTCACATCTCCACTAAAAGCAAGCAGAGATTAGAAATAACTCATAGATATCATGGCGAAAAGAAAATAATAAAGATGCTAGAAGAAAACATTGGTGAACATCTTTATGACCTTGAGAAAGACAAAAGTTTTATAATCAGACTCCTCAAAAGTAGTAGCCATTAAAAAAAAATGAGGTCAATCCAGGTGTAGTGACCCATGCCTGTAATCCCAGCACTTAGGAGGCTGAGGCAGGAAGCTAGGCATGAGTTCAAGGCCAATTTGGGGTACATAGTGGGTTCAAGGCCAGCCTGAGGTACAAATGAGACCCTGTTTTAAAAAACAAACAAATAGGGCCAGGGATTTAGCTCACTGGCACTGTACTTGCCTCGCAAGCACAAGATCCTGAGTTGGATCCCTGGTACTGAAAATAAAAAGAGAATTACTGAAAAAACAAACAAATAAACAAAATAAGGTCAAAATGGTGACAAGGTGTTTAAAAAATAAAAGGAAGAAGAAAGAAAGAAAATGAAAGATGATGGGCTGTGGATGTAGCTCAGCAGCCTGCCTGGCAAGCACAAGGTCCTGAGTTCCATTCCCAGTACCCCCAAAAAAGAAGAAGAAGAAAATGAATGTTGAAATTCCAGGATAGCTGCAGGGTCAAATGTCCACCTGGAAATATCAAAGGCCAGAATGAATGGCTGTTCAACTGAACCCTATGGGATCCAAACACCCCAGGGCTGCAGGGTCAAAGCAGGCCTCCCAGGGGCCTTGGGGCTCCAACCATGCTCACTCACCTGGAAGACCTCGGCGCTGGTCTTCTCGTGCCGGCGGGCCAGCTCCTCCAACTGCCCCTCCAGCCGGGCCACGTTGGCCCGAAGCGCACCCACCACCCGTTCATGCTCTGAGAGTGCCACGCTGCCCACACGCTCCTGTTCCAGCTCTGCCCTCAGCCGAGCAGCCTCCTTGCCCGTAGCCACCACCTCCTGCTCCAGACTGGCCGCCTGGGCCCTCAGCTCCAGGGCCTCTTCCTGCAGCCTGTGATGCTCGGACACGGGCACCGAGGACTGACGCAGGGCCTCTGAGGCCTCGCGTAGCTCTGCCAGGCCCCGCCGTGCCTCCTCACAGGCTGTAGCTAGCTGGGTGGCCCTGGCCTCCGCCGCATCCCGCGCTTGGCTCAGCTCTGCAGCCACTACCCGGTGCTGCTCCCTGGTGGTCGTGGCCGTGGCCAGCTGCTCCCGGAGCGCCTCCAGCTCCCGGCTCTGCTCCAGCCGCGCCTCCTCCCGCCGGGCCAGCTCTGCCCGCAGACCCCGGGCTTCCTCCTCAGCCAGCAGCTGCCCAGCCCGGGCCTCGTCCAGCCAGGCTGCAGCCGCCTCTAGCTCCTGCAGACGGGAGTCCCGCTCTCGAAGGTCTTCTCGGGCTTGCTCCAGGGCTGCCCGCAGCTGAACTGTGTCGCCACTGCCACTGCCGCCATTGCTGACTCCCCTGGCCCCAACTCCCTGGGCCTCACGCACCCGCTCCCGAAGCCTGCCTGCCTCAGCCTCCGCAGCCTCCCACTTGCCCCGGGCGGCCTCCAGCTCAGCAGCGGCCTCCCTCTCCCGCTGCCGGAGCACCTCCTCCAAACTGCGGATCCTGGTCTCCAGCTCCGACTGCAGCTTCTCAGAGGCCTCCGCAGCCCCAGGGTGCAGGATGGGCCCAGCAGGGACCCTTGGGGCTGTGGCCTTAGATCCCGTGGCCTCCATGTTTGGAGTGAGCTTGGCTTCCCTGGCACCAGCTGCATTGGTCTTCGTTTCTGGTTCCATCCTTGTGACTTCTGATCCTGTGGCCTCTGAGGCCATAGCTGCACCTCCTGTGGTGTCAGTTTCCATATTTTCTCCTTCCTCTCCAGCCTCCATTTCTTTGGCCTCAGTCCCTTTGTTTCCCTCAGCCTCTGCTCCTGCACCCTCAGTCCCTGTGACCTCGTGTTCTGCAGGTGCTGCGTCCCCGCCTGCAGCGTCATCTGCCCTCTCAGCTCCATTAATCCTGGTTTCTGGAACCATGGTGAAATTTAGCTTCGGGTTTGGTGGCCTGTTTGGGGTTGCCGAGGCCCCCATGTCTTTGTCCTCTTCCCGTCTGGGGACCTCCCTTGCCTCTTGCTGCTCCAGTGCCCTCAGGGCCTCAGCGTGCTGCCTCCGGAGCTGGTCAAACTCAGCCCGGAGAGAGTCATAGAGGACCAGAGGCACGACCTCCGACAGGCCATCCCCTGCCACCTGCGTGTCATCCTTCTCGAAGTTCTCCAGGATCTGGGGATGGGAAGGCAATCAGGCAAGGGCCTGAGTAGCCCTTAGGAACACAGGGCAGCCTCACCAGCTTCCCCACCTGCCCCAGGCCCTGGAGCTGTCAGCAGCTGCAGTTTCCCCACCTGGAGCTTCTCCAGCAGCTCCTGGTTCTGCCTGGTGAGTGCAGCGACTTGCTCCTGCAGCAAAGCCAAGTGCTCCTGGGCTGAGGGGCTGAGCTGCCTGGACAGGGGTGTCTCGGCCCCTGGTGATGTGGGTGGGCACAGAGTGAGTGCTGGGGTTCCAGCCCCCACAGTGGGGGCTCTGGAGCAGTGCACCAGGACCCCCAGAGCTGGCTCAGGCAGGTGGAGCAACTAACATGTGTGTGCAGACTCCCTCCCGGTGCCCCATACACTGCATGTCCATGGCTCCCCAATGAGAGGTCCTCAGAGCCTCACCTGGAAAATCAGGCAGGTCGCCCTCCTCATCCTGCAGGGTGACCACATCATAGCTGGTGTTCTCCCGCTCACTCTGGCAGTGGGGGGAGATCAGTTCAGGGTCCTGTCCCTCAACACACCCACCATCCTCCTCCAAGACTCCAGAGTGGCCTGCAGGCTTCGTATCCCTCTGTGATTCCCCATGAGTACTGGACTGGTGTTTGTATTTATTGAGTAACTACTATGTTCTTTGCTCATTATTTTTGCAGGGCTGGGGATGAACCCAGGGTCTATGCCTTATAGTCAGGCACTCACCACTGAGTGGCTCCCTCAGCCCTGTGCACCCATTTTTAACCTTTTTAAAAAAGCTATATAATTGTATGAATTATTTCTCCATATATATATTTGTGGTATAGGGAATTGAACTCAGGGCCTTTACACTGAGCTCCGTAACCAGGTCTTTTATTTTTATTTTGAGACAGGCTCTTATTAAATTTTACAGGCTGGCCTCAAATTTGAGATCCTCCTGCCTCAGCCTCCCAAAGTGCTGAGATGACAAGTGTGTACTTAAACTGCCTTTATATGTGTGTTTGCTGTTGTATTCATAAGATTTTTGTGTGCTTGCTCATCCTTTGTTATGGCTTGTGTTTAGATGTCCCCCCAAAGCCTCATGCTTATTCAGAGGTGGCTGAATCTAGAGTGTGTGATTGATTCATGGTGGGGCTAGGCCCAAGGGCACTAGGATTAAGGGTGTGAGTGCTACTCACCCTAAGTAGTCTGAATAAAATAAAGGGGGCAGGGCTGGGGATTTAGCTCAGTGGTTTCACCGCCTGCCTTTTTTTTTTTTTTGGTACCAGGGATCGAACTCAAGACCTTGTGCTTGTGAGGCAGTCGGTGGAACCACTGAGCTAAATCCCCGGCTCACCGCCTGCCTTGTAGGCACAAGGACCCGAGTTTGATCCATGGTACCAAAACAAAACAAAAACCCAAAATAATAATAATAAACGTAAGATAAAGGGGGCAGAAAGACTGTTAAGGTCCCTTGCTGCTTTTGTTTTTTCCTGCTGCCATGAACTGTTGCCCCTCTGCCATGTGCCAACCTGCCTTAGAGTCATCCAATTATGAACTGAAACCTCTACAAACTGTGAGCTAAATAAATCCCTTCCCCTTTAACTTTGGGTTGTCAGGTATTTTGTCTCACCAACGAGAGATAAGTTACTAAGACATCCTGGGCGTGTATCTATTTCCAGGTGTGTTACCTTCGTGACTGGGTTTGTGAGGATGTCTGGCACGTGCGTTTGCATGTCTGTGAAACTGTTAGATGCCTTGGGGCAGTTGTCAGGCGCAGAAGCCTGAGAGGCTCCCCTCACTTGCAGCTCTCCACAGCTGACCTTGTCTCTACCCTCTGACCCCGCCCCTAGTTCCACAATCCGACTCTGGCCCCGCCCACCTCTAGCCCCACACAACCCCTAGCCCCACCCACCAGTACTTTTCCCTGCTCTGGCCCCACCCACTCTGACTCTAGCCCACCCTGGCTCCACCCACACATGCTCTGACCCCACCCCTTGCCCAACCCACCATGTCTGACCGCCCCCCACCTCACCCTGGCTCCACCCTACACCTGACTCTGACCCCGCCTCTCCCTGGCTCCCGACAAGCCCGGCTCTGGTCTCGCCCTGGTTCCACTCACCCTGGTTTTGGCTCAGCCCCTGTTTATGGCTCCGCCCCAATATCTGCCCCGCCCACAAGCTCTGGCTCCGCCCCGCCCTCGGGCCCACCTCCAGCAGGGACAGTCGGCTTTGCAAACTTTCCACCTCCCGTCCTAGGCTCTCCTTCTCTTCCTCCTTCTCTGCCAGCAGCTGCTGCAGCTCCTGAACCTGGGGGTGGAGGCAGCTGGCTCAGGCGCCTAGGTTGGGGGAATACCTGGCAGCAGCCCACTCCCCACCTTCCGCGCCTACCTGTCTCTCCAGGCTGTGCACCGAGCTGGCCTCCGCCTCCTGCGGCTGATGCAGAGGGGTCCACAGGGTCGGACCAGGGATGGGGCCTCCTAACCTCACCTGCCGAGGTGTCGTCTGCTCCACCCACAGATGTCTGCTTCACCTGCTGCGCGCACCACCCGCACCATTCTAACCCATCATTACTAGGATTTACTGAATGCCTGCTGTGTGCCAGACACTGCTCTGACCACTCAGTATGTTTTTGCCAGGTGTCTATTTGGGTCCAAACCCTATTTTGGGGCCATGCATTCACTTGCTCAGTTGAATATTCATCTGATAAATATTTGTTTTTAACAAAGGGCCTTTTGAGCAAGAGGTCTGGGAGGAGGCATGGAAACATCTGGGGGAGCAGCATTCCAGGCAGAGGGTACAGACTGTGCAAAGGCCCTGGGGCAGCATGGAGCCTGGTTCTGTGCAGGAGCATTGAGGAGGAGGCGATGTGGCTGGAGCGGAGGGAGGAGGCAGGAAAAGTAGAGGGAGTCTTTCCCCGGGAGTGCACCCCACCCAGGCCTGGGCCTCTGCTCCTCCTAACCTCATGCTTCCTTCGTTCTTTGTGCTGTTCCAGGCCCCGGATCTTCTGCAGGAGACGGCCCTTCTCCTGCCGCAGCCGCACGATCTCCTCGTAGGCTTCTCGATCGTCCTGTCCTCTCCCCAGCGGGAACCCACCACCTTTAGATGAAGCCCGAGGCTGCCCCTCGGCACCTGAGCCAGAGCTTGAACCCCTACTGAGGGCTCCCCTGCCATCCTCCCCTAGGCCCAGGCATCTCTCACCGGCATAGGGATGTGGGCTGGAGGCTGGGGCGCCTTCCGCTTCTTGGGACCCTCTCGCTTTTCATGGCTGGACACAGAGTTCTGGGATGGCAGAAGGGGAAGGGAGCAGATGGGGGCCGCCTCAGCCTCCTACCCAGTACCTCACCCAGCCAGCCCATTACCCACCCGAAGCCCCAGCTCTGCCATGACTTCCCTGGGGACTCGGCGACTCCCAGCCTCTCTCCTGTCCTCCCTTAATAGGGGCAGCATAAATAGGGATAGACAGCATTCCATTTCTTGCAAGTCCTAAAACTTTTATTTGTTTATTTTGAGACAGGCTCTCACTATGTAGTCCACGCTGGCCTCAAACTCACAGAAATTCTCCTGCCTCAGTCTCCTGAGTGCTGGGATCACAGGTGTGCGCTACCATGCCAGGCCCAAATTCTAAATCTTATTCTTTGCTCCCCGCCCTTCCATACGCCTTGGTGCTCTCCCTGGGCGGACCAGATTATCTATAGGTTTCTTTTCCCTGTGGGGATGAGATGGGCTGGAAGGAAGAAGCCAGCCTTTTCCCTTTCCCTACACCGGCCCTCGGCAGCCCCCGTCCCCTCTGCCACCCGCCTCAGCCCCATCTCTCTAGGGTCCCACCGCCTTTGGGAATTTGGGGCAGCGGCCGCCACTAGGTGGCAGCATACCCGGAAGCTAACCTTGCTCCCAACAGAACCTCCCAGGGGCGACCCGGGCAGGGCTCCATCTCTCACTGCGCGCCCGGGAGTGCGTGCACGGGGAAGGGGCCCAAGCGCTCCTCAGGGTCCCTACCTGAGACGAAGCTTCGCCCGAGTCCTCTTCTACAGGCAGGGGAGAGAGGGAAGCAGGGTCAGGCGCTGGAACCAGGGACTCCATTCCCAGCTTCCAGACGGGTATTCATGGGCCCAGGAGAAGGGGCCCTCTCAGTTCCCCACGAATCAGGGCTTGTAAGGCAGGAATTCATCATTTCAGTAGATTGATGATAGGAAGGACTTTGAAACTCTCAAAGAGAGAGGAGAGTGGCATTTCCCAGAAGGGGTAGGTAGAGATGCCACTTTTTGCCTTGCAAGCTCAAGGACCCGAGTTCGATCCCAGGTACCAAAAAAAACACACAACAAACTGTGGAGATGCCACTTTTTAGGACAGGCAAGGTCCTAAAAATAAAGAAGATCCAGGGAATCAAAGTGGCTCCCCAGACCACTCTAAGTGTTCTGGGGCTCCTTGAAACTGCCTCAAGTAAGGGAGCTATGAAACTGCTTTTAATACAGCAGATATGGAGTACTTTGAAACTATCCTCAATAGGGAGCGAAGGAGAAGACAGGAAACTACCTAGAAGGAGATGCAGGGGGCGGGGCTTGCATACCGCTGGGTGGGGAGGGGCGCCGGGCTGCCTCCTGCAGGAGGTGCAGGATGAGTTTGTCCCCCGCCAGGGCTCCGTAGTGAGCCGCGTCCTGGCCCAGCGCGTCAGTGATGCCCAGCTGGGCCCCGCCCTGCAGTAGCACCTCCACTGTTTCGGGGCTGGCCCCCTCACAGGCCAGCATCAGGGCTGTCCTGCCGGGGAAGGCGGCTACTGAGAGGGTGAGCACATTCCTGGACCCTCAGGCCCTCCTCCACACCCGACCAGATCCCCCGCTCAGAGAGGTTTCAAGACTTCCCAGGGTCACGCAGCACAGGACGGGTAGGTTGACAGGGGAGCAGCTCACCTGCCCTGCAGGTCCTGATCATTTGCAGCGGCCCCCTGCTGTAGGAGGAGGCGGCACAGGTCTGTGTGACCCATCTGAGCTGCTAGGATGAGGGGCGTGGCGCCCGACTGGTGGGAAGCAGCAGGAGGAGGAGGGATGAGGTGGCGTGAGAAGCCTCCAGGTCCACCCTGAGCTTCACTCCCTCCCTCTGCAGAGGGGTCCCTCAGAATGCTGCCACTCGGTGACAGTACCTCAAGTGCAGTCTCTCCCCTCCACCCAGATGCCAGAAACTCACCCGATCTCGGGGGTTCAGATGTGCCTTGAAGGAGCACAGCAGCTCAGAGCAGGAGAGACAACCACCAGCCGCTGGAAGAGGACAGGGGAAGGGAGAAGACTCAGGCATTTCCTGGGGCCCACAGCCAGGATGGTATTTCTTTTTTTTTACAGTACTGAACCCAGGGCCTTTGCACTGAGCTATATCCACCTTTAATTTTTTATTTTTATTTTTATTTTTTTTTTGGTACCGGGGATCGAACTTGGGACCTTGCACTTGTGAGGCAGGCACCAGAACCACAGAGCTAAATCCCCGCTCCCCCCTTTAATTTTTATTTTGAGGCTGGGTCTCATTAAGTTGCCCAGTTGATTTGAACGCGCAATCCTCCTGCCTCAGCCTCCCAGAGTTCTGGGGTTGCAGGCGTGTGCCACCGCACCTGGCCGTAAATTTTTCTTGAGCCGAAAAAAGCCGAGTTACCAGAGGAGTACCCAGAAGCACCCGCCGCTAGGTGGCAGCGTCCTCCAACTACCGGAGACGTGCGCAGAGACAGCCCCCAAGCAAACCGACCTGCGTTTCCCTAAGAACAGAGGAGTCCTTGAGTCCTCACTGGAAGCCTGAACCTCTCGGTCTCGGTGTACAGAGCCTGGAGTGGAGGGTGCTGGCCCAAGCGGATGGGAGCTTCCCTCCGTCGGGAAAGAGTGGATTCTGAAGTTGTGGGCTGGCTGAGATGCCCTGTGGATTTCTCTGAACACTCTCCATTCTCTAAAAGGCTGTGCTCCTGGGTCAGGCGACCTAGGATCCCCTAATTACTATGGGGAGTGACATAATGTCTTCTCTGTTCAGTGGGCCTATGGGAGGGAGGCTCAGTAGAATTGAAGCTGAGCCTGAGTCCAGCACACAGTAGGTGCTTAGTAAAGAAAAAGGAGGCAGCATGGCCATGTGTACTGGTGTGTGCCTGTCAACGCAGCACTCTGGGAGGCTGGGGTAAGAGGGTCATTGAGAATTTGAGCCCAGCCTGGGCGACTCAGTAACTTATTGAGACCCTGTCTCTGAATAAAAAATAAAAAAGGGCTTGGAGTACAGCTCAGGGCAAAGGCCCTGGGTTCCATTCCCAGGAGCCTCTTTCCCCCCAAAAAAGAGGCAGCAGGAAGCCCTGATGAGACCCACCTGCATGGTGCAGAGCTGTCCACCCACTGCTGTCCTCCATATCCACCACGCAGGAGGCCTGGGAAGCAGAATGGGTCACCTGAGGCAGGACCATCTCTTCTTGTTGCCTGATTTCTCTAGGAAGCCCATGTCACAGGCCTCTGAGTGACTCAGTTTTTATGAGAGGTAGTGAGAAAGAGGGAGTAGCTGGAAACTCAGAATGAACAAAACCAAAAAACAGTACTTAAGGTATGAGGAGGAACTAGGGATCGTGAAAGTCTAGTACTGGGAGTGTGTCTTGGTTTGAGACATAGCTGGACACTTGGGAGTATCTGATTATCTAGAGAGTAGCTTGGGCTCAGGACTAAAATGGGCCAGGGCATACTGGGATTCAGGAAATATGTGGAGGTTTGGGGTCCTGCTGGAACTCAGCAATAGAGGCTCAGGGAGTATCTGAAGTTCAGGGAGTATGAGATAAGAAAGTAAATGACCTGTAGCAGTTGCTTCAGACACTGTGGGTGCCCATACTTGGCAGCAAGGTGGAGAGCAATGTAACCTGAAAGGGAGAGAAGGTTTACTACAGATACCCAGGGGCTCCCAGCTGTTCCACAAACCTGTGGCAACTGTGATGTGTTTTTTGGGTCTATACCTCATGCCTAGTGACCCCCCAAGCACCACACATTCTATTATTTTCTCAGATCCTCAACTAACTCATGCACCCAGATACTTCCTTTTACCCAAGCTTCTCCCACAGCTCCAGCTACTCCTAAATCGCAGCTATTCCCCCCAAGCCTCAGATACTCCCCTAACTCTACTTGGTATTCTCTTGCTCCAGAAAAGTCAAGCTCAGCTACTCCCATGAGGCCAGCTTCTCCCCAGGACACTCTGCCTATGTCTACCCTTTCTTTGGTCCTGGATTCTCCTGGACCCCCAGACCCATCCCCACGTTCAAGCCCCCCCTCATTATTCTGGCACCCCGGGGAGGGGCCCAAGGGCCTTCCTCAACCTTCCTCACTTTTTCAGAAATCTCCCCAAGCCCCAGATACTTCCTGCTCCCAGCTGCTCCCTCAGACTCAACTGCAGCCTGAATCCTAGTTGCTCCCCATGGACTATGGGCACTGTCCTTGCCTAGCACCAGCTCTGGACTCTGTCCTTGGGCACCACAGTCTAAAATGCCCCTTAGGGCTGCGGATTTAGCTCAGTGGTTCTGCCGCCTGCTTCACAAGCCAAGGACCCGAGTTCGATTCCCGGTACCAAAAAATAAAATAAAATAAAATAAAATAAAATAAAATGCCCCTATGCCTCCCTCTGGACAGTGGAGGGAACTCCCTTCTGCCTGCAGTGAACACTGAGGCCTCGAAGCAGGGCCTGTTGGAGTCTGGAGCTGAGCACTGCTCTGAGTTCTACCTTCCACCCAGGCCCCGGCTGGCAGTACCTGCCCCGTCTGTGCTCATGACATTGGCGCCCTGTGCCAGCATCACCTCCAGACAGCTAGCCGCGCCCCGCATGGCGGCCAGGTGGAACCTGGGGGTCAGAGGTCAGAGGTCAGGGGCGACAGTGCACAGCTTCCCTCAGCCGTGCCCCTGGGGAGGCACCGGCACTCACGCGGACTTGCCCTCGGGGTCCAGCTTGGTGGGCACCAGCCCCTTGCGGGAGATGAGCACCGCGACCCGGGCCGAGTCGTTGTTCTCCACAGCCTGCAGCAGCCGCTCGTCACTTTTGCTCCAGTCTTGGCCCTGAGGGTCACACCCAGAGGCTCGTGGGGCCGGGTGGGCTGCTGCACATTCAGGGGGCCCTCCCTGCGCCCCCTGGCAAGGGTCCCGGCTCTCACCGACCGCCCTGGGCACTTGCCTGGCCCCTGGCTCTGGCTGCCGGCTTCGGGATGGGGCAAGGGCCGCAGGGCGGGCAGGAGCTGAGATCGGCGGAGCTGAGCCGCAGCTGCGGGGGGAGGTGGTCCTGGGCGGGGGGCCAGCGACAGCTTCTCCCGGGCCTGCCCCCCAGCATCGGCCCCAGGCCCATGGCCCCAGGGTCCGCCAAACCCACTGCCAGCATTGGCCTGGTCAGCCTCAATATCTCTTCCCCAAGTGTCCCCACGCCACCCCCCCAGTCATCCCTCAGGGTGAAGGGAAGTGGACTCGGGCAGGCGGACCCACAGCCTTTCCTACTGGCTCTGAGTCTCCTCATCTGACCCTCTATGGCCCCGTCCTGTCTCCCAAAGCCCTCTCTGCTATCTGCCCCACAGGTGCATCTGCGCCCATTATCCCCTCAGTATCTTAAGACTTGTCCACCCAAATGGTAGCCTGAAAAGCATTCTCAGATGTATCCTCCAACGTCTACAGTGTTCTCCAAAATTACCCTCCCCCCAAACAAACCAAGCCGGGCGTAGAGCGCAATCCCCGTAACCCCGGAGCACTCGGGAGGCTGAGGCAGGAGGCTCTCCGAGAGTTCAAGGCCAGCCTGGGCTACATAGTGAGTTACAGGCCAGCCTGAACTAATAGTGAGACCCTGTCTCAAAAACTCAAAAAACAAAATAAAACAGAACCAAAAAACTGTTCTCCAAACGTCAAGATGTCTTCCCAGGACCCGCCCCCCAATAGCCTGACATTGTTCCTTCAAATGATACCATCTAACTCCAAAACAGGCTTCCCAAACTGTTCCCCCAAGGTCCTCTACATTCTTCTCAGTGTCCCCGCCTCTGTCCTCAGAATTGTCCTTGTGTGTTCCCGATTGTCCCATCTTTCCCCCAAAGGTTAGCACCACCCCTATTCCCTCCCGAGTGCATCTTTCCTAGATCTGGGGGTGCGGGCTTCGGGTAGTCAGGGCGGGGCGGAGGGAGGGGAGGAGGGAGGAGCGCCCCGGCCCCCCGCCCGAGCCCTACCGCAAGGGAGGTGGCTGCGCACAAACACAGCTGCTTCATGGCGTTCCGGGCGCTGGGTGGCAGGGATGCCCAGGGGCCGGGCTCCGAGAGGCGGCAGTCCAGAGGGGCGGGGCGGGACCAGAGGCTGGAGCCCCGCCCCACAGGGCGTCACCTCGCCCACTCCAACGTCGTTACGCCCACTCTGGTTTAGCACCGCCCCACAGATTGGCTCCGCCCCTCCCAGCCCCCCACGCCCAGCACCGCCCCACTCCATCCAATTGTCTGCTTTGGGTATGGCCCCCCCCACTCTATATCCTGGCCACCGGCACAGCCCACATCAGCCCCGCCCCGTCCCAGTTCACCTCGACACCGCCCACTCACAAGAAGCCTCCTCCATTGAGAGTCCTCCCCCCACCCAGGGATTCCAGGAGGTCCAGGGATGGAGCACTGCCCTGGTGGGTCCTGACTTGGCCAAGAGGCAGATGCGCTGAAAGGGGCCCTGTCCCTCACCCGAGGGCTGCACACCCAGGGTCGTTGGGCTCCTTGGACCTTCTTGTGCTCATCTCTCTTCCTTTCCCAGCAGAACTGGGGGGGAGCAGGTGTCTCCAGGCCTAGGACCCCACCGGCCCAGCCTCGACACCCCACACTTGCTCATTCTCCCTGGCATTTCATGCACTCATCTACTCACATTCACTTACCCTCCAGGGCAGCTCTGCGGAATCTGCTCCCCCTACCCAGCACATCCTCCCGAGTGACTGGGCCAGAGACTTACCAGCTGCCAGCCTCACTGTTCCGGTCTGTGGAGTGGGCAAGGCTGTGTACACAAAGCACTGCCCATCACAGTGCATGGCATATAGTAGGTGCACAATAAAAACTGACTCAGTTATCAAATAAAGATCTAACTGGGCCTGTACACCACGCTAAGTCTGGGCCCTGGGGACAGGAAAGGATGTAGGATGTAACAGAAGCTCAGTTAAACTCTTTGGAAGATGAGGAGGATCCAGCCCTGGGCTCAGACTCCAAGGGCTGGGAACATCTCGATCACACTCCAGAGCAGGGCCCACTGAGGCATCCCTGGCACACAGCCTGGCACCCTGGGTAGATCGGGGTGGTCAGTGTGTGGGCAGTTAATGAAGGACTCCCAAGCCCACAGCCTCTGACTCATAGACATTTCATTCCTGCAGTTCACTGAACACCAGCAGGAGCTGGGCACTGGGTCCCGGGGTGACTGGGATAGATGTCACTACTATCATGGGGATCCCCAGAGAGACAGACATGTGCTTCTGGATCTGTGAACCCTCGTGGTCAGGGCTGTGATGAGGGAAATCAGGTGAGCTTCCCGGAGAAGAGGACAAAGGGGTGGAAATCTGAGGGGTGGGCATGGGGTGGGCAGGGTCAAGGTGACCCTCAGGAGAAATCGCCACTTACCTGCACCACGCAGTTACCGCCTCCTTGGTCCCCAGCTCCAATGTCCCCTGAACCAAGCCTGCCCCCCAACAGCGGCCAAAGCCACCCGTGAGGCCCTAAATCAGTCTCCCCATGGCTCCCACCTGCCCTTCAGGGTGAAGCCAAGTCCCCCCGTGACCCAGTGGCCCCTGTGTGCAGTTGGTGGCAGAAGAAGAGGCCAGAGCTCCCCAAGACTTGGGGCCAGGGGCCCAGGACCATGCAGGGGGCCCCAGTGCTTAAGTGTAAGACAGGCGAGAAGGGGCTGGCAGAAGAAAGGCATCTTGGGCAGGAGAGGGTCCCAGGAGTGAGCGGTATTGGGGAGCCAGTACAATTCTGGAAGGGGGATGGTCCAGCCTGGTGGCTGGCAGCCAGGAGAGCTGGCACTTGAGGAGAGAGAAGGGACAAAGGACAGGCGAGGGAGTCCAGAACCTGAATCTAAGAGCAGAGGCCCACGAGCAGGTGGCGCGGGACTGAAGCCAGTTTAACCGTGCTGTACCTGCTATGTGACTTGAGCCAGTCACTTCCCCTCTCTGCCGAATGGGCTAAGTTACGGGATGTACACCACAGAGCCAGCTCCGTCTCCCTTAGCACTCTGGATACATCAGGGGCCTGGCATCATCTGTGGGGCATCCTGGGCAGTGCAAGGTGCTGAGCCCTGTCCTCAGCCTCCACTGGATCCGGGCCAGGAGCTCCCCCCAGTCATGACCGCCACAGATGTCCCGGACATCACCCAGGGTCCTGGGCAGGGGCTTGCACACTGGGGTGACATGAGGATTCTCAGACACCTAGGACAGGTGGGGATGGGGCGCGGCAGGTAAACGGATCTCCTGGCCCAGGCCTCGGGTTTCACGGTTGCTGGGCTTTTCCTCCTCCATCCCTGAGCACTCGGCCACACCCACCCCTCAAAGCCCAATGCAGGCTCCCTTTGGTGCTGCTGCCAGTCCCGCCCAGCGCTCCCCACTCCCGTCTCTGGCTTCAGCCCTTTCACCCTCCCTTCCCTTCCCCACACCAGCAAGAGGCTGTGTGCTAACCCAGCAGCAAGAAGATCTCGTCTCTCTCCCACTCAGAAGCCTCCTGGGACCTCACTCAGCTTAAAGTGCCAGCCGTGGCCAGGCGTGGCCAGGCGTGGTGGCGCCTACCTGTCATCTCATCACTCAGAAGGCTGAGGCAGGATCCTTGTGAGTTGAAGGCTGGCCTGGGCTACTTAGTGAATTCAAGGCCAACTCGAATAGACAGTAAGACCCTGTCTCAAAAATAAAGTAGACTAGAATAAAATTTAAAAAAAAAATAAAGGGCCAGCAGTGTTTTTACGGTTGTTAGAGATCAGGGGAAATTTAAAAGAATAATTTGTGACCTGTAAAAAGATTATATCAAATTCCACTTCTAGCACACATCAATAAATTTTTGTGAGTGTGACACTGGGATTTGAACACAGGGCCTTTGCACCGAGCTCCATCCTCAGCCCTTTTCAATTTTTATTTTGAAACAGGATCTCACTATATCACTAAATTGCCCAGGCAAGGCTTGAATTTGGGATCCTCCTGCCTCAGCCTCCCAGAGTGCTGGGATTAAAGGTGTGCAGCACTGCACTTGACTCATCAACAAAGTTTCTTTCAGTGGACAGAGCGAGCCTTATTAGTTTGCAGAGGTCATTGGGTGTGCTGAGCTGCAGAGCAGGGTTGAGGCTGTCTGGTCTAAAAGCCAAAAATGGGGCCGGGGATTTAGCTCAGTGGTTCTGCTGCCTATCTCCCAAGTCCAAGGTCCCGAGTTCGATCTCCAGTACCAAAAAAAAAGCGCCAAAAAACTCAAAGCCAAAAATGCGCTTGTCTGGCCCTTACAGGAAATGTGCACGGCCTTGCTCTTCAGAATCCTCTGTGTGACTCCAGAGCGCGACTCCGTGCCCCAGGCCCACACACCATCCCAGCAGCCTCCTTAAAGGTCTTCAGAGCTGGTTCCTCCACTCCTGGCTCTTCCAGGAACCACAACTGCAGTGACCCCCTTCTCTAATGGCCCCTGGGGAGGAGTTTTTTTTTTTTAATTTTATTGCTGTTATCACCACCTAAGATACTATGTATCCTTTGTTGTTTTCTTTTAATTTTTTTTTTTGTACCGGGGATTGAACTCAGAACCTTGAGCTTTCAAGGCAGGCACCAGAACCACTGAGCTAAATCCCCGGCAATTTTTTTTAAATTTTTTTTTTTTAGTACCGGGAATTGAACTCAGGTCCTTGAGCTTGCAAGGCAAACAGCAGAACTACTGAGCTAAATCCCTGGCCCAAATCCTTTTCCTCTCGTTTTTATTCTGGACAGTCCTATTTAAAAAATTCAACTGGGTGCAGTGGTGCATGCCTGTAGTGCCAGCACTTGGGAAGCTGAGGCAGGAGGATCGCTGCAAGTTCAGTGCCAGCGTGGGCTACATAGTGAGTTCAAGGCCAGCCTGAACTACATAGCGAGATCTTGTCTCAAAAAAAAATCACTCAACACACACTTATGGAGCACCTACTATGTGTACCCACACAAACAAGGGCTCCAAACTTCGTTTAATGGCCCACTCTCTAAATCTTAAATTTTTTTTCAAAACTTTTAATTTTTTTAAATTTTGAGACATGGTCTCAGTAAGGCTCAAACTTGCTATCCTCCTGCCTCAGCCTCCCCAGCAGCTGAGGTTTCAGGTATATACCCATGTGCTCAGCTTTTAAAATCCTTGCTAGAAGCCAAGCCTGATGATGCACACCTATGGGCTCAGCACTCAGAAGGCTGAGGCAGGAGGATTGCTGCAAGTTCAAGCCCAGCCTGGACTACATCCTGAGACCCTGTCTGAAAAAAATGAAAAAAATTAAAGAAAACATAAAAAAAAAAAAAAATTTAAAAAAAATTGCCGGGGATTTAGCTCAGTGGTTCTGCCTCCTACTTCGCAAGCGCAAGGACCCAAGTTCGATCCCCAGTATCAAAAAAAAAAAAAGGATTTGCAAGAAGCGTAGAGGTACTTGAGTCTCCAGGAACCCCAACATTCCCCTGGTGGGATTTTCTGGAGCCCCACAATAGGGCTAGAGTTTGCGGGGCCCCAAAGGCCAGGCAACACGAAGGTCTCATGGAAAACCCAGGGCTGCGGACTTCCGGGCGACCAGTGCAATCGCGCCACCTGGCGGCGTCTCGCAAAAGTGCAGCGCTCTCGCTGCAGGACACAATGGGGACCGCACACCTGGAAGACGCCGGGACCGTGAGCACCCGGGACGCGGGTCCCAGGGACACCAGGAGGCCGTGACGCAGTCACGGTGTTTGCTTTCTTCCCTCGGGGCTGCTGCACAAAAGCTTGAACCTGACTCTGCTGCCTGTTGCGAAATCGGAGAAGGGCAGCCGAGGGAGGGGGGAGGTGGCCAGGGCCCAGGAGTCCCACAGCCCTGCCGCGGCAGAACCCCGTCCCCTCCCCACCCGTGCCCTCTGAGACCTCATGCCGCCTTTTATTTTACTTTTTCTTCCAGGCCCTGGGCCTGGAACCCAGGGCCTTCACACGGAGCTCTATCCTCAGCCCTTTTTATTTTTTATTTCCATACAGGACCTCACCAAGTCTCTAAGTTGCTCAGGCTGGGCTGGAACGGGAGACCCTCCTGCCTCGGCCTCCCAGAGTCCTGGGATGACAGGCATACGTGGGCCACCACGCCCCTAACACTGCCTCTAACCAATGCACTTTCCCCTCTCCACTCTCTCCCTACCCCACGCCGAGTCCAGTTCTTAATGCTTCAGCCCTGGCGGTGTCTCACTCCCTGGCTGTGTGGCTTTGGCCAACTTCCTTCACCTCTCTGGCCTCCCTTCCTCGGCTACAGTGTGAGGATGATGAAAGCTCTGACCTGGAGCATTAGCGAGGGATAAAAGTGCCAACATCAGCAAAGCACATCATAAGCCCTCAAATTCAAATAAATAAAAATGAAAAAAGGAGCTGGGATTGGAGGAAAGAAAAGAAAAGAAAGGGGAGAGAGGCAGGCTGTGGTGGCTGGGCGGAGCGGAGCCCTGTTAGGAGTGCAGAGGAAGGCCTGAGCGGCAGCCTCACTGCAGGAACCAGGACCTGCTGGGCCAATGGCCTGGGGCTGGAACGCTGTGGCTGGAAGCGGTAGGGAGGTGAGGGTAGCCAGGGGAGCTGGGAGGAGGCTGGCTGGGGAGAGACTAAGGGAAGGACTTGGGCTCCTGGGTACCGGGGAGCCACAGAAGACTCCTGAGCAGGACAGGCCCCGTTGTAACAGATCTGCCAGAAGATGAGTCCAGTGAGCAGTGGAAGACAAGTGGGTCCTCAGCCGGGCCTGGAGACAGGAGCCTCTGACCCAGGACACCAGGGGCTTAAGACTCACCTCCGGCTTCTTAAAACGGGCCCGGAGAGTCTTCATAGCCAGCGCCTGGCCACCTGGGGAAGGAAGGGGCGGAGCGCCGTGAGGGATGCAGCCCTGAGGGGCACTAGGCACTCCTGCTCCCATCACAAGCACCAGCACCTCCTCCCTGGGACGGGACACTGACTGCTCCGTGGCCAAAGGCACCCTGCTGTGTGTCCCCCAAGCTGCTTGCCTTCTCTGAGTCTCACTTTCTTCACCTAGGAGGAAAGGTTTTATGGCAGAGTTATTTCTGCCAAGAAGGCCTTTTATCTTTTTCTCTGGTGAACTCCTATTCATTCCCTACAACCCAGTTCCAAACTCCCATCCTCTGATCAACTTTGCTTCAACGATCAGGGTTGGAGAGGCCTCTCTGAAGTCCTCATCTGCCTCCCAGCAGGGGCTGCGGTGGACAGATTCCCCCGGCCCCTCCTGCCAGGGGATTCCCCAACTCCTCCTGCCACCCACTGCTCACCTGGACACCCCTTCTCCCACCTGGTCAGCCGGATGTCCAGCCACCGGCCACTGCCCACCAACTGCGCCACCAGAGGATGGTTCTTCAGCACCTTCAACCGCACCTGCCCATCTCCCCACTCATCAGTCTAACACCCATCAAGCTGCCCACCCATCCACCCACGCATCTACTTTGCACCAGTCACCCCATTCATCCATCCACTTCTCCATCCATCCACCCGCCCACCCACTCACCCAGACTCCTCCTTCTGTTATCCACCAGTCCACTGCCCACACAACAGTCACCAGCCAAACCATCATTCACTCACCAGGCACTGACCCTTTTGCCCCTGCCCCTGACTAAGGATCACTCAATCACATCCGAAGCAGGTGTGACAAGATGCCCACAGAGCAGCCCTCGGGTGCGGGGCAGGAGGGGACCGCGGGCTGGGGAGGGGGCTGCACCTGGGAGAGGTGCCCGTGACTGCACAGGCCTGATGGCCGGTGGGGCGCTGAGGCACGGTGGGGGACAGACACATCCCGCAGTCACCCAAGGTTGAGGAGCATGCAGGGTGCGTGAATGTGTGTGTGTGCGTGAGCCGGGTCGGGATCTGGCGCCCGCCGCTCCTCTCTCCACGCACGCGGGCTCCTGGCCCACGGGGAGCCTCCACCCGGGACCCACACGCTCTCCCTCTCCTACCTCCTGCAGCTCCAGTGCCCAGGACCTGTGCCCAGCCCACAGTGGCTCTGGTTACCCACTCCCAGCTGGGCCACAGCTCACACCAGCACCTCCCAGTGCTCGGCTGTGACACCCGATCACCCAGGGGGCTGGGGGACAGCGAGGGAGGAGACAGCTGGCAGCTGGACTGCTGTCGGCCTTCGGGGTTCTGGTGGAAAGACACACAGGCTCTTCCCTGCCGTCATCACTGGGCTGATTTCAGCTTCTAGAATGCGCTCTCCTGGACCCCCAGCCTTCCCTTTGCGGTGTCCTCTCCCAGGAATGCTTTTTCTGCCCCTCTTGTCATCTGGAATCTGCTCCTTCTTCCATCCAACTCCTACCATCTCAGCCCTGTGGGCCACATCCCCTCTTCCAAGAGGCCTTGCTGGATCCCCAGCTGGGTCAGGACCCACCTCCGAGCTCCCTCATTGCCCTTTCCCCTCTGTGTCCCCCACCACACCGCGATCCCACTGTGTCACCACTGCCTGGTCACACACGGTAAGCTATAAAGGTAAGGATGGTGCTCTTGGTTGTTTTTGTTCTTTTTTTTTGGTACCGGGGATCGAACTTACGACCTTGCACTTGCGAAGCAGGCACCGTGCCACTGAGCTACATCCCCGGTCCAGGATGGTGCTGTTTTTGCTGCTTAGCATCAGGCAAGAGCTCAACACATGTCTTTAACTGGGTCTTCAAGGCTACCTGCACCAATGACCCTGATCAGCTTCTCTGTCCTCTTGGGCAAGCAGGCCGTCCTGCAAGATGCAGATCCCCCCTCCTGCCTAGGTAGCGCTCATTCAAGGTCTTCTTTTGCACCAGGGTCCTTGGTCTCCATTGTGAGACACTGTCTCCTTCCGAATGTGTAAAAGGCGAAAGAGGCCATTGATCACTTGTTCCCCCCATTTTAGAGGTGACTGGAAAACTCTCACGTGGGTAGCCACCCCAGCTTCCGGCCCCCATCACTCCCTTCCCCTTAGCCCTTGGGAACCTATTCAAATAGCCTTCTCTCCTCCAGTACTTAAAATGGCTCCTGTGGCATCACCAGAGCATGCGCTCTAGGGAAGGGGCAGGTCGCACTGGACAGGGTACGGCTCCTCCTTCCTTCCCTGTCCCGCCTCACTTCCGGCGGAAGCAACCTCAACAAGGGAAACTTTATTGTTCCCATTGAGGCAGCTACGATGTCGGTGAACTACGCGGCGGGGCTGTCGCCGTATGCGGATAAGGGCAAGTGTGGCCTCCCCGAGGTGAGTACAGCGGGGGATCCCCGAAAGTTGCCTGCATGTCCACTGGCTGGGCAGAGCTGACGACAGGCATCGGGGCATTGTGGGAATATCAGGAGGCACGGAGGCTAGACAATGGGAGGGACTTCCCAGAGAGCAAGGCGCAGGAGGCGACACCCCCTGAGCTCCTTGGACAGGGTGTGTCAGAAGGGTCCTTCCAGCCACAGGGACAGTGATGGGGAACCTTAGACCTTTCAATAATAAACAGCGAGCTGCAGCACGTGTGCCATAGGTTCATCACCACTGCACAAGGAGAAATGCAGGAGACGCTGTACCTTCCCCACAGTGGATCCTGGAGCAGGTCATCTCCCTCCTGGGTCTCCATCTCTCGTCTGTAATGTAATGAAGGCACCCAAGGGCTGGTCCCTTCATTCTGAGGTGTCTGTCCAACAGCACTAATGGTGTGATTCCCTCCAGGGCCTGCTCTTCCTGCGACTATTATTTACTTTATTCTACAAACATGTCTTGAGCATCTGTGGCAGCCCAGGGATTATCTGAGTGTGGAGGTGCAGGGAGCAAGACAGGCCAAACCCACCAAGTGACTGGGGGACGTATGAGTGAGGTGGCATTTGAGCCAAAATCTAAAGGAGAGGAAAGAGAGAACCATGGCTGGATCTGAGAGAAGAGCATTCCAGGTGGAGAGCATGCCCTGTGCAAAGACCTTAGGGCAGCATGGAGCCTGAAATGGTGCAAGAGCAACCAGGAGCCCGTGTGGCTGGAGCAGAGGGAACCTGGGGCAGAGGGGGAGGTGGGGAGTGGACAGGGAGGAGGTTGTGCAGGCCCCTGTGGGCTACAGGGAGGACTTAGGCTTTGGACCCAGGGAGGTGGGAGACATAGACGGCTGAGGACAGAGGAAGGCCATGAGGACAAAGTGCCTTTTCTAGTCCATTCTCCTCCCTGGGCAAGGTGAAAACAGCCCAGGCTGAGGCTCATGGCCTTGCCACCTGGGAGACACATTTGGACCCCTCTGTTCCTGTCACCCACCAGATTTTTGACCCCCCGAAGGAGTTGGAGCTGAAGGTGTGGGAGCTGGCCAGGCTGGTGTGGCAGTCCTCCAATGTGGTGTTCCACACAGGCGCTGGCATCAGTACTTCCTCAGGCATCCCTGACTTCAGGTCTGTGAGCATGGAGGGGAAACTGAGGTGGGCCCACCATCCCACCAGGGGTTTCCCTGGAGCAGCAGCGCTCATCCTATTCCCTTTCTTCTGGCCGAGTCCCTGGTACTAGGGGTGGAGAAGTCACAGCCAACATCCTACTTCTCTCACTGGCCAGAACCTGGTCACCTGATGTGAATCTAGCTGCAAGGAATGCTGGGAAAATCTGATCCCCCTGATCTTACCTACCTACAAGGCACACTGGGAAACGCAGTTTTTAGGCAGACAGGCTGCCCACATACTTGGATTCTATTACCGTAGAGAAACTCAATATCACGGACAGTTAATTCCATGCACACCCTGCAAACATTTTCCTATAGGATTCAGTGTGAGGCAAGTGGCTTTACCTTTGGGAACTGTTTCCTCACCCCTAAATGAGGATGTGAGACCATATACTGATTGAAATCCCCGCTGCATCCAACAGCCTGTGTTAGACAAGAGTTGTTGGTGAAAAGCAAGGCTGTTGCCAGGCGTGGTCGTGCACCCCTGTAATCCCAGCACTCGGGAAGGCTGAGGCAGGAGGAATCGCCACGAGTTCAAGGCCAGCCTGGACTATATACCGAGACCCTGTCTCGAAAAACCAAAAAAGAAAAGAAAAGCAAGAGTCTCAAACTGGAGGCCTCTTGATGGCTCCTATAGGTAGGTGAATTTGCAACCCTTCTCTGAAGAGCAGTAAATTGCATTTATTTCTTTTTCTGAGCCTCTGGGGTCCCCAGCCCAGATTTTCACAGCAGGAGAGCAGATTCCTTTTTCTTGAAGGAATGTTAAACTTCTAAAGCATGAACGCTTCAACCCCTTACAGCCTGCTATGGTTCCCTACTGCCACAGTAGAATTCCAAGCACCAGGTTGGAAACTGAAGCCCTTTCTGATCCAGTCCTCAGTCACTTCTCCACTCTCACCCCCTGCTGTTCCCACTGTGGCCCCCAAACCACTCACATTTCTCCAAACTCATAGGCCACCCCGTGGGCCTTTGTTTTTACCCTTTAAACTGCCTTTTTCATCCCTCCTACACTTCAGGAGGCTGCCCAACCTCCTCCAGGAAGCCTTCCTGCCTGCCCCAGCCAGAGCACTCAGGGCCTCCACTGGGCTCCCCAGCTCTAGGTCCCTTCCTGGGCCTGATCCTCCAGGGCTGGAAGGCTGGGTCTACCTGTGCCTCCTGCACAAAATTGAGACCACCTCGAGGGCTAGGGCTTGGGTCCACCCAGACCCCAGCAAGCCCAACGTGGTGGCACATGCCTGTAATCCCAGCACTTGGGAAGCTGAGGCAGGAGAATCTCATGAGTTGAAGACCAGCCTGAGCTATGTAATGAGACCCTGTCTCAAAAACAAAACCAAAACAAAACCTCAGTATCACCCAGCTCCCCAGGATCAGGCCCAGGGCAGCAGCAGCAGCCAAGTGTTGAATAAATAATTAACCATTGCTCACCTGTACATTCTCTCTCTCTCTCCTTCTCTCTCTCTCCCCTTCCCTCTTTCTTTCCATCTCTTTCTAATTCTCTCTCTCTCTCTCTTGCTTTTTCTCTTTCTCCATCTCTCTGCATCCTCCCAACTCTAATTCTCTTTTTCTGACTTTGATTGTGCCTCTGTCTCCTCTCGTTTTGTCTCTGGGTGTTTCTCTCTGATTCTGTCTCTCTGTGGCCCTCTTTCCCCGCTCGCCCACGGCCATCAGGGGCCCGCACGGTGTGTGGACCATGGAGGAGCGGGGTCTGGCGCCCAAGTTCGACACGACCTTTGAGAGCGCGCGGCCCACGCGCACACACATGGCGCTGGTGCAGCTGGAGCGCGTGGGGCTGCTGCACTTCCTCGTCAGCCAGAACGTGGACGGGCTGCATGTGCGCTCCGGCTTCCCCAGGTACAAGAGGCTGAGTTGCCGCACCCCCAGGAGCTTTGGGGCTCCCTCGCCCTGCTCCCTGTACCACAGCTGTCCCCAGGGGCCCTCAGATCTGTGAGGGAGCCAGGCTGGAGGCAGATGGCCCTGAGTCTCCAGTAAAGGAAGTTGCTGGGGCTGTCAGACAGGTTTAGAGTTTACAGTTGGTTTCATTATTGTTCAGCACTAGGGATGGAACCCAGGGCCCGCATGCTGCACTTCATCCTCAGCCTTTGTTTTATTTTTTTTTAAGACAAGGTCTTGCTTGGTTGCTAAGTTTTCCAGGCTGGGCTTGAACTTGGGAACCTCCTGCCTCAGCCCCCAGAGTACTGGGGTGATAGGCTTGTGCCACCAAGCCTGGCTAATTTGGGATTTTTAGTATCCATCTTTACTGCTTTTATGTTGATCATTAGTGAGGAAGGAAAGTGATTGTTTTCCCCCAGTGCAGGGCTGGAAGCCAGGACCTCACCTGTGCTAGGCAAGCGCTCACCACTGCCAGCCACTGTTCCCTTCTCTTAAGATAACTGAGAGTCTAACTCCACCCCTTTAGCGTGTAAATGTACTTTGTCCAGAGCCCAAGTAGCTCTGGAGTTGTGATTTTTAGTTTCAACCTGTCATTTCCTGAGAAAGAATGATCCTGCCTCCTGGGGCCCTGGGTCACCGAGAGCCCTGCTCTGGGCTGTGACCATCCAGAGGTCAGACAGCTTCTGGCCCTTCCGGGTCAGAGAGACTGATTAGTCAGGTGGCTCTTGTGTGCCGGGGTGACAGGTGTGTCTCCCCACACCTGCCTTGGGATGAGAGCCTTGGCCAGAGTGTGGCGAACCCCAGGATCCCACATCACATCCCCCGTGGGCACCCAGTCTCAGTGCAAACTGGGTGGGAGGGGTGGGGGCATGCTCAGCAGGTGTTTATTGAGCACCTACTGCATACCACATACCATTCTAGACGTGGGAATTTGAATTCCTGCCCTTACAGCCTGCCCACACTTACTATTACAGTGGCATTCTTTGAAGGGAATGGCTGCCCGTGAGCAGAGGTGGGGTCAGTGGTGTGGTTAATGATGCCTTAGGCTCAGAGAGGTTGAGCTCAATGCCCAGGAATGCGCAGCACATGAATGGGGGTGTCAGAGCTGGAAGAGCAGAGAGAGGGAGTCAGTGGGCTTTGTGGATGAGGGGCCAGGATTATGTCCCTGAGAAGGAGAGGACCCAGGACCCCTCCCACCACTCAGCTGCTTCCTGCCTGCCCCCAGGGACAAACTGGCAGAGCTGCATGGGAACATGTTCGTAGAAGAATGTGCCAAGTGTAAGACGTGAGTGTTGTGTGGTGGGTGCCGAGGGCAGGGGGTGGCAGCTGGCCCTGAGGTCTGTCACTCCTCAGGGGACCCCAAGACCCAGGGGCGTGAGGAGGGAGACCCGGGAGGGACAGAGTCTGGAAGGCTAAGTCATGGTGCCTGCAGGCCTGGCCCTTGGAAACTTTCAGGGAGGCCCTTTCCTATTCCTACTTCCTGGGCCTGGTGGTGGCTGCAGCCCTGGACCTGAATCACTAAGTTCCCCGTGCTGGGCTCAGACTGACAGTCTTCCTGCCTCAGCCTCCTACAATACTGGTATTACAAGTGTGCATCCCTGCACCTGGCTATCTTCTCCCTTTTCATAAGGACACCAGTCAGGCACCCTAATCCAGTAGGGCTTCATCTTAAACCTACAGAAAACTCCCAAGAACGGTATCATCAACTTGTGCTTCAGCTAGGCCAGGGATCCATAAACATTTTTTTTCTTTTCTTTTTTTTTTTTTGGTACCAAGGATCGAACTCGGGTCCTTGCGCTTGCAAGGCAAGCGACGGAACCACTGAGCTAAATCCCCGGCCCCCTCTTTTGTTTTTTTAAGACAGGATCTTGATATGTAGTTCAGGCTGGCCTTGAACTCCTGGTGATCCTCTTGCCTCAGCCTCCCGAGTGCTGGGATCACAGGCCTGCGACCATGGACTTTTTTTTTTTTTTTTCACGGACTTTTGTGTAAAGGACAAGAGTCAATATTCCCAGCTCCAGGTGCCAGCCCAGCTCTACTCTGATGAATCTCTGCACCATGATAGTGAGAAAAGCACCACAAACACCCTGCACATGAACAGGCGCAAACGGGCGTGGCTCTGTGCCATAAAACTTTGTACCAAAACCACAAGTCCAGAGCCAGATGTGACTAAAGGGCCACAGCTTGCTGACCTTTGACCTAGATTCACTCATTGTTAACATTTTGCCACAAGTGGGTTTTCCTTCTCCCTGTAATTAATGCCATTTAAGAGCAAATTGCAATCTGGGCACAGTGGTGCATGTCTATCATCCCAGCTACTCAGGACGCTGAGGCAGGAGGATCTCAAGTTCAAGCCCAGCCTGGGCTACTTAGCCAGATCCTGTCTCAAAATGTAAAAGGGCTGGGGATGCAGCTGTGGGCAAAGGCCCTGGTTCCATCCCCAGCTCTACCAAAAGGAAAAAGCTCAAGTCGTACCAGTGCAGGGCTGTAGGGTCTGCTCACTGTCCCTTCCTCCACCCCTTCCTCCCTGACACAGGCAGTACGTCCGGGACACGGTCGTGGGCACCATGGGCCTCAAGGCCACCGGGAGGTTCTGCACAGTGGCCAAGGCGCGGGGACTGCGGGCTTGCCGGTGAGTGGCTGTCCCCAAGACCTGGATCCCACAGTGGCAAAGGACCTGTGACACACCCCCCCCGACATTCCTCTGCAGGGGGGAGCTGAGAGACACCATCCTGGACTGGGAAGATGCCCTGCCTGAGCGGGATCTGGCTCTCGCCGACGAGGCCAGCAGGTCTGACGTCTTTGTGCACCCGAGCGGGGGTTGGGGGGCGGGCCAGGGGCAGGGCCAGGCAGAAACTAGCTGGCCAGCACGCAGGGCTGGGATGGGCTTGGAGGTCGGATCAGAGAGTCCCAAGTTCAAGCCCAGCCTGGGCAATTTAGTGAGACTCTATCTCAAAACATAAGAAGGGCAGGGCCGGACGTAGCTCACTGGTTCCCCTGCCTGCCTTGTAAGCACAAGGTCCCAAGTTCAATCCTCAGTACCAAACAAACAAACAAACAAAAAAAGGGTGGTCAATGTACCTCAGTGTGAAGGCCCCGGATTCAATTCCCAGCACTACAAAAATAAAAAGTTTCCTAGGGCAGGAACTTCCCAGCCTGCATCCTTCCTCATTGCCCTAGGTGGGTGTTGCTGGAGGCCCATTTTACAGGTAAAAAAACTGAGGCTGTAGCAGAATGACTTCTGTGCAGACCACGTCTACACAGTGCTGCTGCCAGGTGCCAGTGCACAAGGTCCACTCTTCCCCCGGGGCCCTGGGCAGAGGGGAGGGGCAGGTACAGCACCCAGGCCTAGGCTGGACCCCAGAGCCACCTCTGGATGCACTAAGTCCCCATCCCCATCCTTGTCCCCAGGAACGCGGACCTGTCCATCACCCTGGGGACCTCCCTGCAGATCCGGCCCAGCGGGAACCTGCCCCTGGCCACCAAACGCCGGGGCGGCCGCCTGGTCATTGTGAACCTGCAGCCCACCAAGCACGTAGGTGCCCAGCCACCCTGCCCTGCCCGGTGCCCCACGCCCCTCGAGTGCCCAGCCCTGACCCTCCTACCCCACAGGACCGCCAGGCTGACTTGCGCATCCACGGCTACGTGGACGATGTGATGGCTGGGCTCATGCGACACCTGGGGCTGGACATCCCCGCCTGGCACGGGCCCCGAGTGCTGGAAAGGGCCCTTCCCCCACTGCCCCGGCCTCCCGCACCCAAGCTGGAGCAGAAGGATGACAAGGGTGAGGACTCTACAGCCCAGCTCAATGGCTCTGCACCCACCCAGCCCAAGCCAGAGCCCAGCAGCCCCAAACTGGAGCGGCCCGAGAGCCTGGCCCCTTGCAGGCCCCCCAAGAGGCTGAAGGCTGAGGCAGTGCCCAGCTGACCAGCGGGCTGGCGAGGGCAGGGGGTTTTCTAGGAACTGCGAGTATTTTGCTGTCATGTCACGGTGTCTTTGGTACTTGGGACTCAGGATGCTGAGAGCCGTGGCCCTTCTGGCTCCGGGGCATCCAGTGGGCCAGGAAGCAGCTATGCCCAGAGCTGCCAGCCCAGGTGCCTGCTGCCCCATCAGGCTCTGGCCTCTGACTCAGGATGTGCCGGAAGGGGGGCCAGACCCTCCCGGTTTCCAGCCTACGAGGAAACAATTCCCTGTGGCCTCCAGTGACCTCTGGCACCCCTCCCTCCACTCTTGATCTCCCAAAGCCACCTTCACGGGCCCTCCAGGAGGGGAGCACAGAGGCAGGCACTGGTATCCTGCAGGGGCTTCCTGGAAGCTGCCAGGGAATAAAAACAGCTGTCCTGCATCCCAGTGTGTTTATTTATTTTTTGGTACCAGGTATTGAACTCAGATCCTTGCGCTTTCGAGGCAGGCAGCGGAACCACTGAGCTAAATCCCCAGCCCTGATCCAAGTGTGTTTGAATTAAGGGTCAGGGATGTAGCTCAGTGGTTCTAGCACCTGCCTCACAAGTGTGTGTGAATCCCCTGTGTGGCCAGACAGGGTGGCCCACACCTGTCATCCCGGCTGCTCAGGAGGCTGAGGCAGGAGGATGGCAAGTTCAAGGTCAGCCTGGGCAACTTTTCAAGACTGTCTCAATAGAAAATAGAAAAGCCTGGGGGTAGGGCTCAGTGTGGAGGGCCTGGGTTGCACCCCCAGTACTGAAAACAAAACAAACGTCTGCCCTCTATTCCCAGGCTCTGCAACCCTTTGCTGAAAGAGTCCTCGGTATCTGGGACCCAGCAAGTGCACACTGCGCTCAGCAGGGGCTCCACCAAGGTCCCATGTCCTCCCCAGCTGTGTCCTTGTGCGAGTTGTTTCACTAGTGCTGCCTCAGTTTCCTCATCCATTCATGGGGTGTCTCTACTTATGGGCAGCCTCAAAGGGCTTCCTGGGGCCCCTGGATCCACCCACTGCTGCCCCAGCCCCGACTGGGGACCCCCTGCACCTCCCACCCCTACCTGGCCCACCCCCTCCTTTGGGGAGACCTAGGAACCCCTCACCCCACCCCAGGCCAGCCATGTTCTGTCAAAATACTTTATTCAAGCTTGTGCAGTCTTAGAAAAGGGGGGGTGCTTGTGGCAGTGTCCACATCAACGTCCAGAAAGGTCCATGGGGTGCTGGGGGTGCTTCTGAGTCTGTCCTCTGTCTGTTTCGGGGGCCTCTGTCAGTCCCTGGGTGCAGCTGGGGTCCCTACGGGACTCTCCAGCCTTGAGTCCCCTAGGTCTGCTTCTGTCCACGGCAGGACCCTCAAAGCACCCCGAGACCAGGTCTCAGGGGTGCTCAGAGCTCATCCCCTGCTGCCTCTAGCCCGGCATGCCCGGGGCTCAGCACTGGCTCTGGCGCCACCCAGCCCAGCATGGCAGCCTGGCCTAGCTCGCCCGTTGCGTTGCCCAGGACCAGGCTCGAGTTGTCCGGCTCCTTTGTGGCATTGGCCAAGTCCAGCCTGTCCAGAAAGGCCCCCCAGTCTGCCCCCAGGCTGCCCGGGGCCTCTTCGTGGGACGCCGAAGTGTCCTGCAGGGAGCCAGGGGTGTCAGTGCCTGGTGCGATGTCCCCCAGGGCCACACGTGAAGCTGCGTCGTTGTGCAGCGTCCTGGAGAAGACTGAGCGGAGTGTGGGGGTCGAGAGGGATGGGGTGAGGGTTGGAGTCCTGCCTTTCTTCCCCCAGCCCCCACAAGTTCAGGAGTCACTTTCTCAGGGGTCTCCTGCACCCTGGGGACTGAGAGTGCAGAGGGACAGTACCCACGGGGAAGCCCTGAGGGGAGTTTTTAAAAACATACTGGGGATGGAGCGCAGGGTCCTCTCACTGAGCTCCCTCCCTAGCCCTTTTTAAAAAAAATTTTTTTATTTTTTTTATTTTTTCTTCCTAGCCCTTTTTATTTAGAGTCAAGGTCTTGCTAAGTTGCCCAGGCAGGGCTTGAATCTGGGATCCTCCTGTCTCAGCCTCCCAGAGTGCTGGGAGGACAGGCATGTGCCCAGCTCCGGGCAAGGAGCACCTACCTCTCACTGGCGTGAAGTCCCCGGGGCTCTCGGCTTTGTTGAAGACAAAGGGGCTGATGGAGGGGAGGACGATGAGGGCGAAGGACAACACCAGGACCTGCGGGAGATGGGCCAGGGTCACCCCATCCTGCCCTGCCCCGAGCTCCCACATCACCCAGGAGGAAAACTGCGGCACGGGAGACAGGGTCGAGCTTGAGCTGGACCACAAGTCTCTGCTCCTCTCCCGTGGCATCACCCCCGGCCTACGCCGACATCCGCTCTGCGAGACCCCCCCCCCCC